CCCCCAAATAGTGATGATACATCTCTCAGTATAAACTCCTTAACATAACATCTCTCTAGGAATATCAATACTGCATGGGATTTTTCAATTAAAGGAGAAACTCAATCTTTTCTGTCTTACGAACATTTTGTTATCTCTTTCTAAGCTTACAGCACCTGATGTGTGGATAAAACCCCCCGTTTTCTGGGGATTTTCAGCTAAATCTATTATTTAAATCCCATTTATCAAGGTTCTTTGGTTCAGCGTCTGAATTTTCTTGGACAACTTTTTTCCTGCCAAATACGATCCTCGGTAGAATGTGCAACATGAGCTGTACCCAAAGCGCATCTCCTGGGTTGCCAGCAGGCTGACAGCACCCAGGGGCTCAGACCTGAAATTCTCCCCTTCCTTCCAGCCTGTATTTCAAGCATCTTCCTCCCATAAAGGCCAGTGGCAAAGCACTTTCAGCTGCCACATTGACCAATGAGCAGGGATCTGCTGCCTTGCACCTCATGGTAAAGGCAGAGGTGATTCCCATACTGGGAGGTGGCCGTTGCATTATTTATTGGAGGCAGAAGGAAGCTCTTTGTTGTACCAATAAACCTCTCACTGTCAGCAGAAATGTGTTGTGTGGTCATTAAAGAGTAGGCAAGAGGTGCCCCACGGCTTGGGATTTTATTGCTTTGCAGTTTGCTCTGGAGCGTGCTGTGCTCATACATCTTAATGCTTTTAAAACCCAAGGTTTCTTTTTGTATATAGGTAAAATACTCACCCACATGCTTATTAAATGCTCCCACACCCATGAGTTTGCTCCTGAAATTCATCCACATCCTGAGATGTGCACAGCTCTGGCCTCTTCACAAAACCACCCAGAACAGGAAGCAAAGCACCATGTGCATCCAAAATCATAATGTTGGCTCCAAGGTCAAGGGCTATGGCTTCCACCAGAATTTCCCCAGGACAGGGGTTCATCCTCATCACCCAGAGCTGATCCTAACAACTCAGCCACTGTGATTTCTGAAGTTGCTCTGATGCAAATGAAAAGCTTGTCAATCATCCTGCAGGGAAAAGGACCTAAAACTGCATTTTTGGGGGCTCCTGTTCAACACAGCTGGTTATTAAATGCATTATTGGCATCAACCCCCTAAAGAGAGCACCAGTCTGTGTTGGGGGTGAGATCACTGGGAATGCCTCAGAGGGACTTGCAGGCACTGACAACAAGTGCTTGAAGCACACATGGTCCCAGCAAATGAGGGGATGAAAGGGACACCTACAAGGATGCTGAAGAGGAATGATACAGTCATCAGTGACTGTAGCAACTGGACAAGGGGTGATGGGTTTAAACTTAAAGAGGGAAAGTTCGGGTTAGATATAAAGAAGAAATTCTTCCCTGAGAGGGTGCTGAGGCGCTGGCACAGGGTGCCCAGAGAAGCTGTGGCTGCCCCATCCCTGGCAGTGTTCAAGGCCAGGTTGGGCACAGGGGCTTGGAGCAAGCTGCTCTAGTGGAAGGTGTCCCTGCCCGTGGCAGGGGCTGGAGCTGGAGGAGCTTTAAGGTCCCTTCCAACCCAAACCATTCTGTGATTCTATGATCCCAGCTAGAAGGGAAAGGACCCTTTCAGTGCTGGTAACGACAAATACAATCCAACACTTCCTTTTATATAACCTTTGGCAAACATTTCTGATTAGCTGTAATGCCTCAGAGTAAAGCACTGGGGTCAAGAAGACTGAAGGGGGGAGTTTTTATTCTAGGTTTTTGCTGGTCTCACAAGTACCTTTGCAGATAGTGGTGATTATAAATAGTCCTTTTGCTATTTCCTGACTGTGGTTTGGTGACTCTACCTTATTTATGGAAGCACATGGGAGGTGTTCAGCATTTTACTTCGTCACTGGGCTCGACCTCAGCTTTTAGACACAGAGTTCAAACTGTACAGAAACAGAGGATCCCCCGCGTCCCGTTGGGAGAACCTTTGGTGCAGAGGAGCAAGCACTATGACAGGATTAAGATGATCATGAGCTCTAGATTTACTTGAGCACACTGCTATCAATAACTTCCTCCTCCAGACTATTGTGCACATACCCTGTGAAGAGGCTCCTTGCTGGAAACAGCACAAGTGCCTCATGCAGAGTCCTCATCACTTTGATGGGCTTCGCCTCCAGCGCGTCCTAACTTCACCCTCAGCTGCACTTCTGTGAACCAGAGTTCACTGCAACACTCTTTCCATGGGCTAAGGTGGCATCTCCCCTGACTCAATCACCCAACAGCCTGCTCCCAGCGTCCTTCCCACAGTAGCTCAAGCAGAAGTCTACACGTAGACACCTCGTGATAGATGCTGTGCTGGCTGTGACATTCGTACTGAATAGAAACCGCATGTGCTGCTGCCTTTGAAACACACTGGGGTCACTCACACACATCAAGATTACGAAGCTCATAGAACCAGCCCTTGTACGTATATGTGTCATGACAATTATCACATCAGTTTACTGCAGCTGAGACACTACCTCCTCCAGCATATGGGAGGTGGGCTTCTGCCCAAAACCTACTCCCAGCTCCTACCAGGATGGCATTCTCAGTCTGCAGTCACTACAGAGCTTCCCTGGACATGGGGAAACATTGCTGCTGCCCTGTTTTACAGGGAGGAAAGCAAAGAGAAATCATTGAGTTATCTGTGGCAAGTCTGGTGCTGCACAGATCTTGAGGTCTCAGGAGGAATTCGAGGCTTCCAGGCTGGGAATCCTGTGGGGGTGTGAGCACTGCTGTGCAGACACCGGGAATAAAAGAGATTGATCCTTATTGGAAAGTCAGTTTTGAAGCGTGGTGGGGAGAGCTCCCCGCTGGATTTGGCCTGTCAGTTGTTGTCACCCAGTGAAGGATGTGGGTTATCAGGCTCTGGTCAATCACCACGGGGAAGTTTGGAGAGACAAAGCAAGAACTTGGTAACAGCCAGGATAGAAGAGACCACCAAATACCACCAGGGTCACAGGCTAGCCAAAACATCGGTCCCTCATGCACAGAAGAAAAGGTCAGCTCACCATGAGGGACCTCAGCGTGAGTGACATGATGCCTATCTCATCCTGCCAGGATTGAACACCCTTGGAATTCCTCAGACCTAAGCAACAGAAATTTCCTAACTCAGAATGTCTCAACTTGCAGAAATTCTGCATCAGATCTCACCTCAACAGAGGAGAACAGAGGCTCTTCAGTCAGAAGGGATCACTGTCGTTTCACAAAGCCGAAACCCGCAGGAGAAAGACTTCAGATTCTGGGATCTGACCAAGAACTGGCAACTCTCCCCCATGAGGCCCCAACCCCACCACCCAGGGCAATGGTTAAGCCAGCTGGACAGCCAAAGCAGACTGCAAGGACATCTTAAAAATACATGTGGAAAAGAAGAGCTGGCTGGTGTTTCTGCCAGCTTCCTTGCTGCTGTTCGATTCCTGCATCTGCTCTGTGCCCACAGTCAGAAGAAATGGGAGAAGGTTTGGGCTGAGGAAGCTCGAGGGGCTCAAATACCACCCTTGTAGAGAGAAGAAAGACCCCAAAAGATGGCAAAGGGATGATTTACCCACGTGGGTCATGGACAGGGGGTGGCAGGAGGCTCTTCCACATTACAAACATACTGAACAGGACCAAAACGGGGTTAGACTAGAAATCAGCCATGGTTTTGTCTTTCAGCAGTGGAGGTGGCCAAGTCACCATGTGTTGCGGTGGATTCTCCATGGCTGAAGATGCTAAAAGCACACAGTAGCTGCTCGAAACGGGCCCTGGATGTCACGGTGCACAGAGCAGTGGAGATCTTTTCTCTCCAAGCTTTGACTTCAGGAAAGCTTCCCAAAGGCTGTTGAGGACATACATCTTCATGCACCATCTCATTTCATGCACCATCTCATTCTACAAATTCCATGTCAGAACGGCATTTTCTCCCCTCAAACAATACTCAAACTATATTATTTGCTAAACACCCTATTTTGCTTTCATCTGATCCATAGGGAACTCCTTCCAGCTCTGCTTCACGCTAGGGGTGAAAGAGCTTCATGAGTGGCTTTTGCCTCTTGACTTCCCACATCCTTTCTAAGTTCACTGGGAAAACATCTTTCCATGCCCAGAGTGTCCAGCAGTTCCCCTGCCCCTTTGTTTTTATTTAGCTCTGTAATTACATTATCCCACTGTACAGCTAGTGGGAACGAAATCTGCATGAAAGATATTAATAAAAACAATTTTTTTTTGTGTTGCAATATCCTTGAAGCTCTCCTTAGTCTGCTAATACCACCTCATTTTGGCAAGTGCTTCACAAGGGAGAGTAACACCATGCGTGAGGTGGGATTATGTTTGTCGTTAACGCTGTGTGTTTTCCAGGGGAGGAACAGCACTGCCTTTTTGATGCTTTTGGGAGGAAAATCACAAAGTTTGCTGGGTGGCACGGAGCGTTGTGACACATGCTCAGGAAAAGCTCTTTGCGGTGGGAGATGGTGTTGGGATGAGTTTTATGTGAGGGTGGGAGAAGGCTTTAACTCATGGTGAAGCAACTCTCAGACATGGGGGGCCAACATCTGGGTGCTTTGGGGCTACAGGGGCAGACAGGATGGCTGCGCTGCAAGGGGAGTGCAGGCTGCGGCGATGCTCCCCAGGCCCTTCTCTGGTCGCCTTGCTCCCTTGTCCCCTCGGTCCCGCTTTGCCCCAGGTCCCTTTGCTTCAGACACGCCGAGGTGCAGCCGGCAGTCCCCGCGAGAGGCTCAGGGGTGTGGGGCGCACCCCGGGTCACCCCCACTGCCCCGGCCGGACCCCCCGTCGTTGCCCTCGGGGCCAGACCGGGGCCGCACAGGCGAGGCTGGGGCCCGGTCTCGGTGCTGTGCCAGGGCTCTCGAGGGCAGGCTGCGGGCCGGGGTCCGCACGCCCCCTCCCCTCCGCATCGCCACCCCACAACGTGGAGCGGTTCCGCGCCCGCCGGGCGGCGGCAAGCGGTGGCCGGCGCGGGGCCGGGCCGGGCCGGGCCGGGGCCGCGCAGGGGCGGAGGGCAGCGCGGGGCCGGCCGGCGGCGCGGCTCCCGCGCTGGGCCAGACTCAGCCCCTTTCTCCCGCCGCCGCTGGCTGCGAGCGCGCTGCGGCTGGAGCTGCCCCCAGAGCGGCTCGTGATGGCGGCGGCGCGGGCTCGGCAGCGGGAGGCGCCCGCCCAGCCCTGCGCGCCGCGCCGCTAGCGGCAGCGCCCGTGCCCGCGGCGGCCGCCCCGGCCCATGCCCCCGGGGGGAAGGGGGGCTGCAGCAGCCCGGCGAGCCGCCCACCCGCGCAGCGGGGGCATCGCCCCCACTCGCCGCTCCTGGGAGGGCGGAAAGGAGGCAGCGGCGGCGGCGGCGGCGCCGGCATTGTGCGCGGCGGATCGCAGGCCCCGGCGGCGCGGGGCTCGCCTGCCTCCAGCCCCAGCCTCATGAGCCAGCCGGACGGCTCCGCTCCGGCGGCGGCGGCGGCGACGGGAGCGCAGGTAACGCGGCGGCCGGGCGGCGTGTCCCCCGGGGGGAGGCGGAGGGAGGAAGGGAGAGGGAGGGCGGCAGCCGCAGCCGCCCCGTCGCGGAGCCCCGCCGGCGGCGCTTTGGCGCAGTGCGCGGGGGGCGCAGCCGGGGCAGCGGCTCTACGGCCCGCACCGGCCCCGCCGCACGCCTCGGACCGCGACGGAAAACAAAGCGGCGCCAGCAGCCATGTCGGCGGGGACGAGCCGCCGGCCGCGGCCCGGCCCGGAGCCCGCACCCCGGCCCTGCCCTGCCCCGACCCGGCCGCCCCGCGCTCCGGCCCGCCGGGCGCCGCCGCTGCCCCGCTCCCTTTCCCGGGGCTTTTTCTTCTTCTTCCCTTTTTTTCCCCCTTCTCTAATTTTGCTCCCGAACGGTGGGTGGATTTTTTTTTTCATTTTTTTTTTTTCCATTAGAACGACGCCCCCTGGAGGAGACTATTCCGTAAATAAAAAAAAAAAAAAGAAATTAAAATTGAAAAAAAAAAAAAAAAGGAAATATTTTGCTATTTCTTATTTTGTACAAAGTTGGGGCTGGGGGTGTGGGGCCCGTCCCCGCAGCCTCGGGGCGCTCCCCGCTGCTCCCCATCGCCTCAAATCCCGATTTTGTCCCTTCGGATTCACAGCCCGGCTCTTATGGAAATGAAAATTAAGCTGGAATTTGAATGAATTCAGGTTTCTGTGTGTCCCCCAGCACCCCGGGTCTTTCGGGAGGAGAAGGCAGCAGGGTGCTTGGGAGGGAAGTGGATCAAGTTGGAGATGGACACCGGGGGCTGGGAGCTGCAGTCGGGGATTAGTTTGGGAAAGTGGGAGAATCGCTGTTCCGGAGCAATTAGGAATTGTACTTCATTGTAATTTTGAACTTGTGCAGCACGAAACTGATTTTCTTCAATTTTGGGTGTTTTTTTTTTGTTCTTTGCTGCAGTGCTGAAAGTTATTTGTGTTAAATGAGGAGTTTTTCAGGAAAATGAGAGCCCAGAAAATTTGCTGTGGACACACCCAAATTTTCCTTTTTTTTTTTTTTTTTAAATTTTTTTTTCTTTGGGGGGTGATTTTGGATTTCATGCAAAACTGCTCAGAAACAATGAGCTTCTTAAACACAGGCCAGGAAAACACGAGGACAAGCAAAATGAAGAGTCGGATGTCAGTTTTATGTTTGAATTTCTTGGCTTTTCGGCTGGTTTCTCCTGGCATAATTAAACCAGACTTTCCAGCATTTCATTTCCTACTTCTTTTGTAGAGAAAAAAATTTCCATAGGAGGGATTTTAGTTGGTTTCTTTTTCTTCCTTCTTTTATAAAACACACTGTACCAAGTGCAGATCCTGTGAATCACACAAATCTAGTGTTTACCCAGGTTTATGATAAGGTCCGCCATGATTTTATGAATATGCATAATTAACAATATTGTAAAAAAGAGAATTGCAGATTTAGTGATTTTGATTTTTTTTCCCCTTTGAACCAGCAAAACTAAAGTGCTTTTAAAGGGCTCAGCCATGATATTTCTTTCACAATTTCTAAATCCTCTTTTCTCCTTGGCTCTTCCTATAAACCCCCTTCCTGGAGTTTGAATTGAAAATCTTTTATTTTTCCATAATTTTTTTTTATTTGTTTTTAATTTTTGTCTTTTTTTTCTTTCTGTTTTTTTTTTTTGAGGCTGTTCCATTCCTGTTATTTTGCTGTTACGGGGGGCCTGTGAGTTCTGGACTGAGCACACACTGGTTTATTATTGTAGGGTTGCCCTTGAATACTGGGGTCTTGGTATTGATCTTTTTAAAAATAAATAACAAAAGAGCACTGAAACACGCATTGTTTCAAGAAAAAAGCAATATAGGAGAGAGACGTGGCCTTTCCCCCCCAAAGTGGGGGAGGGAGAGGAAGGGAAAGATTAGGTCAACATTGAGTTTTACCAACCTTGACACAGTCTCCTCTCTAAAATGGGGACAAAATAGCAAGATGGCTGGCTCACAGCTGCAGCAGTTTGGTTTTTTTTTTGGTGTTTTTTTTTCTTTTTTATTTATTCTTTTTTTTTTTTTTTTAATTTTTTTTGCAAAAAGGCGTTTTTAAATTTTGAACTCAGAAGTGAGTTCCTGGAGCTGCCGGGCAGCAGATGCTGAAATCCGGGCGCTTAAAAAGGAAAGATTAAATTTCAATCCAGAATTTATTTTTAAATCTGGATCTCAAAGCCCTGAAGTGGTTTTATTTATTTATTTTTTTTTTCCAGTTTTTATTTTTTATTTCACTGTAACTTGATAATTGCTGGAAACGACACAGGAGTGCCTGGTGGATTCAGAGGCTTGGGGGGCTGTTTTCTCTCCTCCCCTTTATTTGTTTCACATTTGGGGTTGTTCGGGGGGGGGGGGGGGATGATGGAAAAAAATTGTCAAAGGAGGAGGACTGTTGGGTGGAGGAGAGAATGCTCTGAAATGTCAACTTCATGGCTTTATTTTTGCATTAATTCCCCCCCCCCCCCCCAACCTCCCTGAAAAGGACCCACCCTCTTCCTGGATCTCTCTTTGAAGCGAGTACCTCGGTGGCAGAGCAGCGCTGGGGCAGTTAGAGTGGGGTGCATGCATGGGTAAAAATGGCACACAATGCTCCAAACTGGATTAAAGGATCCCAGAGAATATTTTATTCATGGTTTTATCCAGGAAGCGTTAATGTGGTGGCTTTTCCATCTTCCTGTACTTCCAAGAATTCCCTTCCTTGAGCTGCATCCCATAACTTTCACGTACTCTGTGGTTGTATCCAAAGAAACCGTTTAGCTGTAATTGATTTTTTTTTAATTTTAAGGTTTAATACGTTTTCTTTCTCTGAACTGAGATTTTCTGATGCTGCTTTTTCTCTGCCCGGCCCCACGCTGTCACCCCGAAATCTGGGAGGTGACACCATGGATGTACTTTGGGATTGAGGAACACACACTGATGGGTGCTGCATATTAATTACAGATTATGACATACATTCAAATTTGGGTCTCAGTGACAAGATTTAACAGTTCCATCTTTTAAAGTTTCTCATGCTACCCTAAAATAGAGGATTTGAAGCTTGGAGGGGCATGTTTTATGGCTGTTTTAACCTGGTTTCAGCCATTGTGGGAATTCACTGAATTTTGGAGTGGGTTTGAGTGTTGCACGTCTCATCTGCAGAGAGGAAAATGCAACGCCATCGCACTGGGCTGCAACTTGTGAGGATGCTGTCGTACCATAGGTGTGCACGCCACAACCTTTCCAATCTTTAACTCTGTGTAGATCAGTTTCTTTTAAACAACAGCTTCCATTATATGTTCCATCAGTGATGAAAAGCCGCTCTTGAGGTTATAATGGGTTTCTGAATCTCACCTTTCTGTGTGCTGGTGTCCTTCCAGCAGAAACCTCCTCCTGCTGGAAAAGAGATTTCATAATTTGTCATTGCAGTCTTGCTTTCAGGGGGATTTTTTATTTCTTGTTCTGGAAAGTTGATCAATATTTATCATTTTAGAAATTGCTCTTTGCCAGCCTGGAAGGGGGAGGGGGAGGGGGAGGAAGGCAGAGCCACACCAGTAGGTTTCTTCTGACATCAGTGAAATGTATTTTGCAAGAAAAAGAAAAATTTCAAGTACCTCATCCTCATTGAGGACAAAAATAGGCATTTATTTGTATCCCGGGATGAAAACAGACATAATATTATTAAAGTAGTAGATAATATTTACACGAGCACCATATAAAATCTTACGAGGCTCTTTGCATAACTCCAGACTAATTTAAATCTATATCACTGCCATAATGCAACGCTGTGAACGCAGCTCGCGGTGCAGTCACGTGGCCCTGGTGGTGCACAGTCAAGTTTGCAGTTCTGCAAGTGCCGGAGTGAAATTAATGTTCTAAAAATCAGATTAATTTAATTTTTCTGGGGGCTGCTGAGACCTGATGCAAGGCTCGTGCTGATGCACAGTCATGGTTTACGCCTGCTTCTTTGGATGCTGTGTCTGTGGAAGGATTTAGAGCTTGCTGTGGTGTGGTGGATCTCGGTCCCTCGTGCTACGTGGTCCCTGTGGCACAGCTCTGGGTGAGTGAGTGGTGTTGGGAACTGCACTTTCAGGGTCCTGGTATTGCAAGTGGAGCCTCTGCCTGAGCATCGTGGCCATTGCATGGATTTTGGAGTTGTGGTGGCCCCATCCCTGGCAGTGTTCAAGGCCAGGTTGGACACGGGGGCTTGGAACAAGCTGCTCTAGTGGAACGTGTCTCTGGCTGTGGCAGGGGTTGGAACTGGATGAGCTTTAAGGTCCCTTCAACCCAAACCACTCTGTGATTCCATGGTTTTGGAAACGGCATGGTGCAGGTGTTATCCACGTGGAGGAGCGTGTGGTTGCCCAGCCCAGGTAGCTTCTGTGGGATTGCGTGCATGCCTGAAGCATGTTGCATATGCAGAAGTGTTTGTTGGATCCCCCTGTTCCTCCCGGCGTTCTGTGGTGCGCTGCGGGTTGCTCCAGTGCATGCTTGGATCCACATCAGCAATAATGGATCGTCATGCTGGGGGCTGTAATTGGCTGGTGTCAGACCCGCAGTCATGGGAAGCTGCCCATGAACATGAATTCTGTCAGAGGGGTCGTCTGCAGCACTGGACCCTATTTGTGCATGGATGTGCCGAGCGGGACTGGGACAGGAGGGCGATGGGGAGATGTGCCTGGGAAGAGGCTATGAGCGTGGCTGGAGGCTGTGGTTGCCTTCTGCTGAGGGACATGAGAAAATGGCACCAGGAAATAAGTATTTCTTGTAATTTCTGAACTTCTGAGCATTTAGCATTACGTATATTTAGAATTTCCCATTTACAGATTCAGTTTGGCCATACTGTGTTTTCTGGGGAAGAAGTTTCTCATTTTTAAAGGTCTTTTATGGATTAATTGCTAGTCATCTGCCTCCTTGTTGCTTTTGTTTGGTTCCTTGAATGTCTCTTGATTATTTTGTGCTATGTGATGCCAATTTAGTGGTTAACTAGTATGCAA